GATTCATTCCCATGTCGGTGTTCCCGCAAGGCGGTGGAACTGTTTAGGGCTGCTCGTCAAGGAGCGGGTATTGGCGTCTTCAGTGAATATCCTATAATCATGTATGCATTACTAGCTGCGTATCTCCATGGGATATCGTTTGTTGGTTGGACCGTCTTCGTTATTTCAAATGCAGAAGCAAAAGGCTTTGATGAATCAATTGCTGTGTTTCTCTCTCTTCTTGATGGAATAGGAAACATCATAGGACTCATTATGCCAGGACTCTTGAACTGTCTAAATAAAGATATTTTTGCTTCAATTAATTTATTCATTCTTTTCGGTATCATTGGTGCGTTACCGCTTTGTTTGAATGGGATAGCGTCTCGTTTCTCGACGCTATGCGTCTTTGCTGCCCTCAATGGTCTAGCATTTGGAGCGAAGACGATCGTCAAGTATACCACGGCGGTAGACGTAGTTCCGTCATCTTTTTCGCCAACGGTTCTTCCTGTCGCCATGATTTGTTTCGGGCTCGGTGAAATAACAGGTGGATGGTTGATAGGTAAGCTATGAAATGAGAGAAGAAGATTGGCTGCGTACCTTAAATCAATATTCCCCATTGATAACCAACCTTTTTGGCAGTTTCTGCAAAGTTTTAATCGAATTTTGATACATGAATCCACCAAGGATCTAACTAGGTATGGGGCTTGTCATTGTTCAATGCACCCCTGACCGTCAACAAAAAAAAGTGTAAATTAATTACTAAGAGCTTGAATAGGCTGTCTGTCGTAGTTTGTATCTAGAGTAGGCCTGTAGTTGAAACCACTCAATCCGTCTCCGTGGTCAAGTGGTTAGGGCATTAGTCCTACAGATCCAAATTAAACTATTACTTAGGTGATTGTAATCACTTAAGTCGATTCAACAACTAATGGTCGTTACTTTCCTATTAAAAGTCATTTTCAAGCCCTTTCGTTATGAGGGAAGTTCTAAATTAGTATTGTCTTTCAAATGCCGTTGGAATTTAACTTTTTCATTTGTGTTGGCCTGTAAATGGGACATGGTACCTTTAAGTCACATTTAAAATGTGCTGTTATATAACATCAACGCCGGATCAAGTCTCTCACATTTCATTTTCTTTTATTCGATTCTACAGGACGAATATTTGACCTAACTGGTTCCATGGGCACAGCTTTTCTTTTCCTTGGATGTGTAGATATATTTAGCATCGTAGTTCTTTTGCTTAGCCTACTCCATGGAAAGATCCTTCACCTTAGATCATCATCTGAAGAAGCATTGCAAGATAAAACTCCGTTACTCCGTGGTTAGTACTTGTAGCGGCTCTTACATTCGCCTTACTTTTATCGTACATTCATATTCACAGTTATTTTCCATCACGCTACCTATTTATATTCAGTTATTCGGACCACGTGTGAATTTCTTTCCAATCGCGCATCGTGTTTCCGCACTGTTCACCACGCGTATTTTTAACGCCACGAGGTTTTTCTTTAACTCCCGCTTCCACCTCGGTCAGTCAACAACTCCTGCATCTTCAGTCGAGTCCACACGTCTCTGTGATCCTCTCTCCACACTCGAGATTCTTCTGTGCCTTTCGCCTATTTTATGGCACATATACTTTTTTCTGCCGTCTCCATCGGGCTGGCCGTCTCCCAGTTGGAAAGTTTTAATCATTCCCGACATGGCGCTTGATTCTCCACTGGGAGCTGCCAGTTTCTTCGTTCCGGTAGCTCTTTACATACACGAGCTCGACTCATCGTAGTTCGTCTATTATTTCATCAACGAGTTCGACTCACTGTAACTCTGATGAATTTCTCCATCAAAGTCCGGATCATTCATCCAGCGACTCATTGCTCATCTTCACCACCGACTTTGATGTCTACATTTCTACTCTTCGCCTCCGACATCAAGCGATTCACTGCTTTGTCATTGAGCGCCACATTTCTTCTCTTCTCTTCTCGCCTTAGAGCTTTTTCATCATTTTCATCACAAGCGTCAGCGTCGAGATTCTTCACGGCTCTTCAGCCACGACAATGAAGCTACATCTCCGCCTCTTCAAGCCTCCGCACCATCATCGCGTGAGCCCCTTCCTTCGTTTTTCACATCTCTTCATCTTCATTGGACTTTCGATGTCATTTCCATTCAGTCGTAAGCTTTTATTCATCATGTCCGTCGCATTTATTCATGTTCGTTCTTATTCATTATATGACCATTTAAACTCCGTGCAATATTACCAATTCTCTTTTATGTCATTCATATTCCGATTCATCGACTTGTGCTTGACTACACTTTGCAAGTGTACAGTCAGCTTCATCAGTACCCAATAAACATAACGAAAAGGGAATACTTTCTTCCATGTATTGTATTGCCAGTGCAACCTTGCTCAGGCGCGGATCCAGGATTTCTTAGGGGAGGGGGCCCAACTTTTTTTTTTTTTACTCCCGAAATTTTGAAAATCGCGCCGGCCAAAAATTCGCTCAGTGGGGGGGGGGGGGGGGGGGGGGGGGGGGTATTGAGCACATTTTTTTTTTGATCCCGGACCCCCCGGGCCCTCCCCCCTGGATCCGCCACTGACCTTGCTTCCTCGTAGCTATATACACTCATGGTAGCGGCTGATGGTTTAATAATATGGTTTACTTGAATGATACTGCTTGTAATAAGAAACCAGGGGATCGGCGGCATTAAGTGCTCTCCGAGGGACTTGGTATTAATAAGGATTAAATGCTTTATGAAAGGGCACTACTATAGACATCGATTTGGTTTCGAACCCTATGTTCACTGCTCTCCAACTGAGCCATAGCGCAGTCTTTGTGAAAGTTTTTGTTCGGGGGTGAACAAATTATAGAGGCGATTCCATGTTAACCAGCGTTTTTCAACCTTGTTATATAGTCACGGCACACTTTCGAGAAAGAAAGTGTTTCGCGTTCCCCATTAAAAAAAAAAAGAATATATAACACACATATAGTATGTCATGAACCCAATTGCCACGTATGAACACGTACACACAATTAAGAATGCGAGAATATCTGAAATTGTATTCCCATATTCATCCATTAACACAACAATTAAATAACATTATTATAACAATATTCTTGTATTAACCCTTATCGTGCTACACATACATTTTTCTTTAATATTTCAGTAACAAGCCACATACTTTAAATAGGCGATTCATAAGAGAAGACAAGTTAAAGTGTTTAAAAGTGATCTTTAAAACATATTTATTTTATTCGGCATATAATTCATTATTCTGTCATTTCTGTATGTTCTATTTTACTTTTTTCCCTTTGTGTATAATGCAAATACTTTTATGTGATCTCTTTTGTGTTTTTGTCTCACCATTTTGCCTCGAGTATTTGATTTCAAGTTGATTCGGCGCCTTAAAAATCGAATATATTATTGTTATTATTTTAACTATCATAATTTTTGTTAATAGTTCAGTAGAAGTATTACTATTAGTATTGTTATTATTATTGTAATTATTATAGGCGCATTTATACAAACTTATCAAACAAGCTCTAATCCTCTCAAAGGTACTATGTCACATTGACAGGCCAACAAAATGAAAAGTTTGAATTCCAAGGGCATTTGAAAGACAAAACGCATTTTTGCCCCCCCCCCCCCCCCAAAAAAAAAAATAAAATAAAACGCCCTCCCCCCCTCAAAAAAAAAGCAGCAAAGGAGTAAACATGGTTTGTATTTTTAACCCAAAATAACAATAATAAAAACGTGAATTAAATCACATATACAATTCCATTCAAAGAAAAGGTAAGTTCACAGGAATTAAATTTCATAAACATTGCGCATGCCACCTATACGGTATTTATCTATGGAGGCCTTTATAATAGCGATACGCGCATATCGTGGACAAAAGACTTTAGCCGTAGATGAAAGACTTCATGCATGGCTGATTGTCAGCGAAACGGAGTTAAGTCTGTTGTCAAGTCTGCTAGTTGCTACGGCAGGCAGCCAGTGAAAACGAATTCGTTTGATAAAATTATGGAAATGCAAGCACTACCTTAAACAAACAGAACTTGGTAATTTCTTGCTCATTTTTCCCTTATTGAGGTGTCATATGAAAGGACAGAAACTCGACATTCTAGAAATGTGATTTTCTCTTTGAAATGCAGATACCGTCCGTCAAATGACTTTTTGCTTCCCTCTCTTCAAATTCATTTTAATCACTCATGCGTGAAATATGCACTATATGAGTTGCATCAAATGAAAGAGGAGGATCTAAGCTTTCCAAATATGTGTCATTTATCAATTATAATTGTGATTAAGTTATGATAAAACATCGATAACTCTCGGTTTCGTTTTTTATGGGACGCATTGTTTATAATTTTGTATCTGTTTCCATTGTGATTATTTGAATTTAAACGACTAAAATTTATATTCCTTATATTCTATTATAAATGACTGATAAGGAAGACTAGTCAACGCACCCTTTCGGCCAAACCACACCCTCGTAATTATTTTCGTTCTGTGGTTTATCTACGAATTACCCTCTATTTTAGAGTGTTTCCTTCCATTTTTTTTAAATTGATGTAACGAATATTTATCTATGTATTTTGTTGTATGTACAAACCCATCTTCAATTCTTTCAAGACATTTAAAAACTCAGGGGAAACTCCATTGCTTGCTTAAAGGGTAAAGGAAATTAATCGCCCATTTGAAAAAATGGAAATTCGACCTTTGACACTTTCATCTGTTTTTTCTTTGATTGCACTGCTCAGTATTTATTCTGTACTACGTTGGCTGGTTTGTGAGCCTGTACTGGAAATTTGCTGTCCCTTTATCATTTTTGTTTGTTTAACTTACATGTCCAGTGGTAAAGGATATTTATTTAATTCGTCATTACCGCCGATTTGCACTGTGATTAAAATATAAGTTGCATTGATCGTGTAAAGTAGATAAAAACATGTAAACATAAGAACAAACGTCAATCATCCATCCTTGCTTTTTTCTTACTCTTTCCACTTGTGTTCTTTTTTAAACACACTAAATATTCAGGAGTTGCAGCATGCAAATGTTTTCCTCTTCAGTTTCCATAATTCCGCCCTCACACGTCTGTTGAGGAAAGCATATATGAGTGGGTCGAAGAGGGCGTTACAGTATCCCAGCCACATCGTCAAAACACCAAACCAGTGACCCTCCCCCTCACTGACCCGGATGTAGTTTGAGTGATACATCAAGTAAGGAGTCCAACAGATGATCGTCGTGAAAACAAGCAGTGCACCTGAAGTCAAGGAATAAGAGGGATATATAGGAGATGCCAGTGTAAACGGACAGTTAAAATTGAGACTATACTAGCTTTCAATATCCAATGATAAAAATGACGTTGTAAACAACATGTCTTTTACTTGCGCTATTTCCTAAGCTAATGTAATTCGCGGATCGGCCAGTAATTCAAAAGAATATACATTTTGCACTCAATTTGTTGACCGTACCAATCTCAAATAGCGCACCAAAGTCCCGTAGCTCACGCAGTCCTACGCCAGCCACCATGTACAACGGGCATAAAAGACGTCATTCAACATTAGGGACTTTTAGATTTCCACGTCGACATAGTGAGTGCTACGTGTGACGTTGCAGTCCATTTGTCGACGTGCAAATCTAATGATAGTTGTTAAGTTCATTGCTAAATAAGCCATAGACTGTTGAATATTGGGTGGGTGAAACCAAAACTAAAATGAAACCTCTTTATCATTTCCGACACGTTGATTGTGCTAATTGTGTTATTAACAGCGCCAATCAAAGTTGTGAAGGTTATTGACTACACACAAATAATTTTAAAGCAGTATTTGCCCTTTTAATTTTGCATTCACTCTTTGTACATTGTCACTCTCGTATGGCACGTCCGAGCCCGCGTCAGAAGTCTTACGTCACCAGTATGACGCATTGTGTGCAATGTGCAAACAATCAAACTACCTACCCACGAGAATGACGCGTTTGTGGGCTACATGCCGCTGACGCCGACGTTTCATCTTGATCTTCCTGTCCGTTGCGGTTGCGTTGACATTCCTGACGCTGTGAGCCTCCGTACTGACGCTGATGTTTCCGTCGTCTTCTGCCGAATCCGACAGTCGTCTCATTGGTGCTGGTTGGGGAAGCGTTATTCGTGTTTCTGATTCCTAATCAAGAGGGTGTGATTGTCATTATTTTTTAGCTGGCCATTGATTCAAACATACATTTGTGTTCAATATACATGTAGAACGCACTGAATATAAAGAAGTTTGACATTAAAGGGAGTGTATCATGACGAGGCTATGTCTTTCCCGTGGCCCTACCCAGGGCCAATCGGGTATAGTACGACTACGGACGACGCGACCAACATACGTGCGTGCAACATACGCGAAACCAAAGCGTGAGGAGAACTTCGGTCTGTTTCGCGAACGCTAGCACGCGCTGACCCAATTAATCAAGTCCATTCGTTTACATGCAGTTGTCAAAAACAAGACGCAGATGGCGTTAACCAGTATTTGCCATGATACACTCCCTTTAAAGTTCGTACCTAGCAGAAACATGCCGAATCATTTAGAATTCAATACAGAGGTATACCTCGTATACTGTAGGCCACGATTATGACCCAATTATAACTTCTCTCATATATAATTTACATCTTGCCGCCTCCCCGTCATTTGTAATGCATTTATTTCATAATAAAAGTAGGCAGTGGTACTTACAGATCATAATTATACAGAGATATATCACAATATAGCATACATGCCCCAGAACAATGGATAAGCCAGAGCAGGGCACATACGGTTTTTTCAAATATGATACATAGTTCAATGAAATAATATATATATATATATATATATGAGATAATTAACATTTCAGAAATATTAATCAACTGGAAATAGATTAAAGGTAAAGACCAGTTATGGTCATGCGATTGCATTGTGAAAGAAATGTTGTGGAATCGATCAGAAAAGGTTGATCATCTAGCATATAAGTATTGGTGTGTACTGCAAGGTTCTGGAATCATCAAAATGATAAGAAATATGGCCCAGTCTTCGTAAAGTTACAAGCACTGTACACAGAAAGATGTATATGGGACTATACGCACACGTGCGCGACACGTGCGTTTATCTCTCACAGACCATGTAGATAAACTAATTTACCAAATATATCAATTAGTAGGCGGTTTCCCAGCAAAATTTTTATCATCATGTATTAGTCAAAACATATTCTTTCACATGATTGGTAATAAGAGCTTCCATTTCATTTTTTGAAATTGGGGCGTTTCCAATACAGGTCTTTAAATACCTTTAAAGATAAGTAGTGTTTATATCATATGAGAATGGTGTGGTAAGTAACATGGAGTATATAAATAGCGTCAGTATAGACTACAGTCAGTGAGAGTCAATTAAATGATTTCGATAGGCAAGAAATTTCTCAAAGGGAAGTAAAGACGAGAGATGGGGAAAGCGAAAGAAAAGAACGAACACTATTAAATAGGAAAGGGTATGTGAAGTAAAGAGCAGGAAATGATGATTGCAGTCATAGAAAATAAGCGACATACAATCAGAGATAAGATAATACTCCAATCAAATTAATGACAATGATAAAATTGTCGATACTTCAATTGTTATTACAAATCATTGCAGCTAATAATTATGTTATTATTAATTAAAACACCTTTATTCTAAGCATAGCTGCATAGATATATTATTACATTGTGTGCAGTCTAAATGTCGAAGTGAAACCACATCTATTTTTTCTTTACTATCGAAAGCTGTCTCTTATTCAATACAGTAAAAGGGTCCTTGAAAGACCACCAATAACAATTTCCCAACTGGAATAAGTGCGCTTATACGTGACATTTTCAAGGTCATCAAGTCTTCATGACGTCATCCAGGTGCCATTTTTTTTTCTTTTTTTGGTACTTTCAACTCATGATCATATCTTCATAAGGGAAAGTCATTTAGTTGAAGAAAGAACGTATATCTAGATAACTAACTATTCAGCTTAGAATATCATAAGTCAAAAAAGAAATGACTGTGTGCAACTACGGAAATATGTAAGGGCGAAATGTTAAAGATCTATACCATTAGGAAGGGAAAGAAGAGAAGGCAAATTGTAAAAGAGAGTGAAAGAGAGGGGGGGGGGATAGAAAAAAGGGATTTATAATAGGCAATGTTAGGACACTCACTTCACCTGAGTCCATCACACTTCTATTCGGCACATTCGACAGCGACCTCAACGTGGACATCGATGAAGACAGCTGGTGACGTTGAAGACTCAAGCCCTTCTTCCGAATGAAGTACGCGATGATGACGTATATGGCGATCAGACCTGGGATGATTACTCCTAAATATAAAACACTGCTGATGATGCGGAACATATCTATTCCCCAGATACGAGTGCAGTGTTTCGTACTTTGGTCGTATTCGTAGTCGATCACTAAACCGGCCGATGCGATGGACGCGATGATTATTCCTACGAGCCAGCACACGACAATCATGACGAAGACACGACGTCGATTTGGAGGGAAACGCTTGGATAAAACGACGATAAGGAAACGGTCAGTGGCGATGGAGAGAATGACGGGGAAGTTTGTGTAGGAGAACATGGTGGAGAAGAATCCGTTCGCCTGAAGGTGGAAATACTAAAGTTTAATCTTACGTTTAATCAAAGAAAAAATCTTACGTTAAATAATAATAAAAATACTAACAATCGGAATTGTAGTGCATTTAACCCTATGTCAACCGGGGGGGGGGGGGGGGGTCAATTCGACCCCACCCTGTAGTAATTTAGCGACTACTCCGGAACCGCGTCAGATTATAAAGTTTTCCTTTCATGACTTTTTTTACTTTCGAGTCTTACACATCTTTAAAAAAAACTTTTTTCTTTGCATGTCATTCAGGAAATCGGTCATTTTTGTGATTTGTGTACAATACATATGGAAATATTATTTTTCCCTAGAAAGAGATAAAACATTGGTTATTTGGTCTTATTACAAGTTTAGGTGTTTGTTTGGGGGTCAAAATTGTAGAATTGTAGTAAGAAATTAAATAAAACAACAGAATCAAAATATATAAGTTAAAAAAACAACGAAATACATGACGAAATACATGAAGAAATTATTGAAACAACTTATAACTTAGGGAATAACCTGTCTCTTCCATTTTTTTTGTCGTATTATTATCCCAAGTGGTCTAATGAATATATCTAATGAAAAAGAATGCTTAAATATGAAGAATATATGATTTATGGGTAAAAATGTGAATGTTAGGACCTTATTTGCATAAATTACCATAAATATGCAAATGAGTAATTTTTTAAAACAATTGAAATTACCATAGTATTTTATACACTTCAATTGGCCTCCATGCAAATTTTCGCGGCGAGATCTTAGGGGAGTAAATTGACCCCCACCCCCCCCCCCCCCCCCCCCCCTTGGTAAAAACCTGGTCTGAAATAGCCCGGTTAAGATAGGGTTAAGCCCCCTTGTATTCTATTTTTTATTAAACATAATGACCCTTCAGATCCTCGATCATTCGAATTTTGCAATATGAATGTTCATATCAAATGCTATTGTAAATTTAACTATTTCAACTATAAGCGGATCGTAGGCAGATCGTAAAGTGTTCGGTGGGCTTTAGTTAATTACCACTTCTTAATTAATTCTTCTATAACGAGAACTTTTACTTAACATTAACAGAGCATGGTGACGGTAAAGAGTCCGAGAAGTGGAATAAACTTGAAATGGCAAGTGTGGGGCCCTTGTCTTCTTGAATACATTGAGTCTTAATAAACAATGAAACAGAGATAACCTATACGAGGAAAATGACAGATAACGATGAAATATATTCACGTATAAAAATAAATCTACGTGAAATTGAGCCCACGTTTTGCCCATTTTAAGTTAGATGGCGCCTATGGGAGACGTAGAGATATGTAAAGGTGTCGTGGTCTGAGAGATACGTCACCAGACTTTTGATCACATGGATCGTGGTCCGAGTTCGCTGCGGCACTGAATTGGCAAGACATTTTTTTTCCGTAGGATGTAAGGATGTAAAGGCTAATACCGGGATAATGAGCGATGGCGCCAACTGTATGGGAGGTAGAGCCCATTTCGTATGGGATGATGCCGATTTCATGGCTGTAAATGGCGCCAATTTTTGTGGGAGATGGTGTGGTTTTCTATGAGAGATGTAGCAACAATTTCATATGAGATGGCGGCGATTTAGATTGAGCAGCCCATGATTGGTTGTGGCGTCCCGACGCCACCCCTTCTGGATCAGTAATATGCCAGTGTAAGGAATTTGTACGTAGGTCTAAAGAATCCTAGGCCTATGCGATACCTATGGTCAATAAACTCACTTTGCATACTCCATCATGTGTTGTTAAGAAATGTCCACTATCAAAGACAGATACCAGTGAGAACGTCATACTGGTCAGCGCTACACCAAGATCCGCCACAGATAGGTTGAGGACCAACATGTTATGATAGTTCTGTCTCAGACTCCGTACACGTAGGATGGTGGTGATGACGAGGATGTTGAAGAGTATTGCTCCCAGCATGATGATAATGAGACTGTTCGATGGAGGAGAGAGGGGTGGAGCAATAAAGAGGGTTACAGATTAAAATAATAGAGAGAAGATAGAGGGATGAAGCAGGGAGAGAAAAAAAAGGCGCATTCGGAGAGGGAAATATTGGGGGGTGAAGGAACAGAGATAGAGCGAGACAGCAAAACAAGGAGAGAGAGAGAGAGAGAGAGAGGGGGGGAGATATAGAGAGAAAGATAGAGAGAGAGGGATGGGGGAGAGAGAGAGAGAAGAGAGAGAGAGAGAGAGAGGAGAATCGAAGTTTTAAAAGTGAAAACAACATTATGCATTACAGACAGACGAGAGAGAAACAATCTCGGCACTTAACATAACAAATCATACATTGTTCTGATGAAATGTTAGGAAAAAGGAACGATTCATTTCTACTATCACTTGCATACTCAAATTCAATGCACATAATGTCTACAAAATAAAGAAAACACGATACCTTGAAGACTCTAGCACAAGTTGAACAGTTGATATTGTCTTGTTCTTTCCAACAAGGGAGAAATTTGAATAATCCATAGTAAACATTATCATCATTTCTGGAGTCGAAAATATGGGTCCCTTATCCCCGCAGACCAATATTTATCTGGATGTAGTACTACTAATAATAGTGGGTTCTTGTTTAGCACTCGAAAGCGAAATGATTGACGGGTTTCATAAGACTAAAGATAAGTTTTAGTTATCAATCTCAATAGAAGTTCGAAAGTGCAATTAAGCGTTGACAGTATAATTGTTGTTATTAGATATCAACGTGTTATATTCTCTTCCTTGTTTTATTAATAAACTGTATGGAGTATAAATAATGTATGCGTACAGAGTTTAGTGCTATTATTTAAGACGACCTCATTTTTTATCCTGCCCATTTTATATCATTCTGGAGATGCCGGTCCATCTTTTCCCCTCCCCCCCTTTCCACGTTCTGAAATATATCATGCCGCCCATGCTTCTTTTTCTTAAACTTCAACAACTGAAGTCCGGGTCATGCCTTTATCAAGCGGTTTTTTACCGAAATAAAAAGATATTCGATCATAAACATTATGCCCTTTAGAAATAAAAAAATGTTTCCCCCCCCCCCCTCCACCACACACGCGCGCACACACACAAATAACTCTATACAAGGGCTTCTCAAAGTCCGGATCGCAAGGCACGCCAATCCGGACCACACGGGACAGAGTTTAACATTTCCTTAATTTAAAAGAGAATGAAAATCAAAAAATAATAATTGTGCATTCGAAAAATATATTATGAGTCATTTGAAATCACTAAGAAAATCTCAGATCTTGATCATCATTTTTTTGAAAAATCAAATTATAAAAGATCATCTCATCACGATCCTACCGGTATCTGGCTGTCGCCATTTTTTGTCTTCATCGGAGATTGTGACGTAAGTGCGCTATAGATGGGCGTATGGGCGTATGTTTGGCCAATTGTGTGCGCCATTTTAATTGGCGAGTAAACAAAGCCAATGACATAGAGGTCATTTGGTTTGTGCGTAAATTAAGATTGCGCCCATGCAAATTATGATGTGAGCGCACAGCGCAGCGCGCAGGCAGTGATGTTATTGTAACGAAATCGTTATTTACATTACCTAGCCTTTAGAGGGCGTTAGTTATTGTAATTGTTTATTGTTATTGTAGATGTCGCTATGGTTACGTCGCGCACTGCGATGCGCGTACGTGGGGTTAATCTTGTGGGCAGTTTGTGTTGAGCTGCGGAAGAAGGAAGTTGTGCCTTAATTTGTTTGGAAATTCAGATTATTAAAGTTCTTGGAAACATTACTTGATCTGTAAGTGCATATTATTTCCTGTGTTGGTAACTTAATTTAGTTAAGTGATTGTAAGCTGATCTGAGAGTGTCTGTTGCACAATATATTTTTGTGAGAACGTCGAGTACAGAGAAAGAGCGGGTTCTGACTGAAGAAGTGACGCTACCCAGAGAGTGAGAGACCCGTTTTCGTTACATTGGTGGCTAGCGGTGGGATTAAAACAGACACGAGACACGGTACTCGATCAGCATACGGCAGAGCTGATTATCAAAAATAAGGTTAATCGAGCATAATTAGCTCGATACCACAACTCCTCACCGGCTTCAACACGGTGGTCTATAGCACCTCACCGCTTCAACACGGCGGTCTATAGCGCCTCACCGCTACAACACGGCGGTCTATAGCGCCTCACCGCTTCAACACAGCGTTCTATAGCACCTCACCGCTACAACACGGCAGTCTATAGCACCTCACTGCTTCAACACAGCGCTCTATAGCACCTCACCGCTACAACATGGCGGTCTATAGCACCTCACTGCTTCAACACGGTGGTCTATAGCGCCTCACCGCTTCAACACAGCGTTCTATAGCACCTCACCGCTACAACACAGCGTTCTATAGCACCTCACTGCTTCAACACGGTGGTCTATAGCGCCTCACCGCTACAACACAGCGTTCTATAGCACCTCACTGCTTCAACACAGCGCTCTATAGCACCTCACTGCTACGACATAGGGCTGATAGCGCCTCATCGCTTCAACACATCACTCTGTGGCGCCTCCACACAACAACGACGCAGAAAGCATCAGTGTTTGGAAGAAACATTGTGGTATGGCTTCTCAGAGACTGACTATATAGGACGAGGTAGAAGTCCTTGCAGCAGAAGTGCAGCGAGGCGACGAAGATCTACGTCGGTCCAAGACAGAGATTCAGTTATTATTAGAACAGAATCAGCTTCTCAGACTGCAGGTAAGAAGGCTGCATATCGATCAGTCTCCTGTAAGTTTCCCTAACCAGTCCCAGAGTGGAACACCACCCACTGCTGGTAGACGGGAACATGAGTCAACGGAGACTCATGCGACCACAATGAATGATAACTTGCTGGTCAATCCCAAGGGACCTGAATCACCAATGCATGGATGCCTAGAGGATCAAACGCAAGTGAAGGTGGCACACGAGCAGAATGCAGCTGCTGAGGCGAAGGAACTTCATGCTGCACAGTGGTCTCCAAGTAAAACATCAACAGCCGTTCGTCGGGCAGATGAGCTACGAACATGCTTCTTACATAGGCAAGATTTGGATGCTTCAGATGTTCTTGCATCAATTCCTCACTACCAGCGACACAGAAGCGAAGTTCCAGGGGTACGGTCACCAGTTACACTGTCTAAGCCAAATGTATCGCCCAACAAATTCGATGGGAGGACACCTTGGAGGGATTACCTCAGCCATTTTGAAGCCTGCAAGGTCGCCAATAGCTGGGGTGATGACCAGGCAAAGGTTTTCCTAGCAGCAAGTCTGAGGGGATCAGCACTGAAGATCTTGGGCAGCAAGGCAGCTGACACTTCTCGGATCGCATACCAAGACCTGGTAGTTCTTCTAGAGAAGAGATTTGGCCCAGGCCAGTTGGCAGAGAACTTCCTCCTTGAACTGCGTTACAGACGCCAAGGGGCCCAGAGAGACCCTCCAGGAACTGGGTCAGGCCATACGGGAGTTATCCATGTTGGCATACCCGGAACTTACTGAAGAAGCCCAGGATCGGTTGGCAAGGACACACTTTGCAGAGGCGATTGAGGACCAATCCATCAGGGAAGGGGTCTTTCGATCTAAGCCAACAACTATGGATGAAGCCATCCAGGCGGCCTTGGCAACTGATAATTTTTTTCAGACTCGAGGAACAACGGTCTGGCAGGAGGCAGAAGCAGGCAAGGGCCGTTGACACTGATTCAGCAGCTACGATCAATGAAATCTGGAGAGAGCTGAAGAGAATAGATGAGAGAATCGCCAAACAGGAACGACCCATCAAGTCAGAAGAATTTAGACGGGAGAGACCCAACTCGTACAGGCGGAGAACACCAACAGCCACAGATGAATGCTACGAGTGTCATGAGAAGGGGCATTTTAGGCGTAACTGCCCTCACGCAAGAGAATACAGGAGGCCTTCGGGAAACGAGGCTCAGCCAACCCAGAGGCCCGAGGGGAGACTGGACGGACACCAGGGCATGTAACTGACACACCTCCATCTCCTCGAGAATATCCTTTAAGGAATTACATATCTGATAAAGCACGACGTGGTCTTTTTGTTGAAGCGGAGATAAGGGGAATCAAAGCAAGGTTGTTGGTAGATTCAGGTGCCACCGATACCATTTTATCTTCATCCGTGTACTATCGGATACATTCAACTAATAGGCCAGACTTGACAGAAGTGGGAGTTCGCAATGCAGATGGCAGTAGCATGGAAACGCTAGGTAGTGCATGGTTGGAGCTTGGTGTAGGAACATGCATCTTTCCACTAGAAGTAGTCTTCGGCAATACCGACCAGGTAGACGGGCTACTTGGGCTGGACTTCATGGAACCAAATGGGTGTATTATCGATCTGAAGACAAAGGAACTGCGGCTCAAGGGAGAGAGAATCAAATGTACGGATGCACGAGGAGTTTCATTTAGCTCCAGAGTATTGATAGGGGCAACTACAAGGGTGCCACCAGGTCATGAGGTTATTGTTCCAGGCTACACGACAGGGCTGCAAGATGGGACAGGTCTAGGTCTCATTGAACCTGCGGAGAGTAGCGAGCTCCTGAACAAAGGCATCATCGTTGCACGGGTAGTTGTAGAAAGGACGGAAACAACCCTCCCTGTTCGAGTCTTCAACCCAGGAAAGAAGGCATGCGTAATTCGCAGAGGTACACTTGCCGGCCATCTAACACCCATCAGCGGGGAGGACTTTGAAGAAATTCCAGGCCAACCTTTACCAACAACCGATAATCATACAGTCCCAGACCATGTCGTAGATCTCTTTGAGAGAAGCAAGAGAGGGATAGACAAGCTCTTCCATGACAGAATTGCCAAGCTACTGTGCGAGAACCAAGACATTTTCGCAATTTCGGACTCAGACATTGGAAAGACTGGCCTTGTCAAACATCACATCAACACAGGGGATAGTCTTCCAATCAGACAAAGGCCCCGTAGGTTTCCACCCAAGGAGCAG